TGGCAATCCAAGCCCTAAGTTGTCTGTGTGCCTCTAGAATGGTATTAGTTATGAGAACAGAGAAAAGTCACTCAAATAATTTTTTTTGTTGTTCTGCAATTCAGCAGACTTGCTTTGGAAGACTTGAGAAAGGTTTCTTAAAGAGTGTCTGTGCCAGGTGCTTAGGAGAGCTAGTATTCAGTGTCACCCTAATACAGCTTCAGGAATTGAAGTGGTTTGAAGCAGGGCTGCATTCCTGTGACAGCTGCTCTACTTTTGTCAGAAGCTCTATTCAGCCACTCTTCTTCCCTCTCCCTGAATTGAAAGCACCCTTAGGGAAGACATGACCTAAATCTTGAGGTCATAAGCTTTGAATTTCTTTATACATCTTGGCCTTACGATTTCTAACTATCATGTCAGATCTCTGATGCATTCAAGCAGATTTTTTTTTCAATTGTTCAGTTTTTCAAGTTGCCTTCAGCAGCAAAGTTGGCCTAAATTACATAATCTGCCATTGCTGGAAGCAATGTACAATTTTAAAACCTCAGAAGAGCCATAATTGACCTTTATTTGAGGATCTAAGTAGCACAAAATACTGTCTTTGGGAAGGAAAAGAAGCATGTATTTTATATATAGTTTTAGAGTATGTGCTTAAAATATATGAAAATAGTTTACCAAAGGGTTTTCTTTTACTCTGTGTGGAGACTAACAAACTTGACAATTAGGAAATTCTACTAACCACTAAATTTGTAGATTTTAGTATCTTAGCTAATGATCTCATTGCTTGGGTAGAGTAGTAAATGAGGTATTTTTTAACAAGATGACATTAATGCTGTCTTTATGTTTTCTGGCTTCCCTTCTAAAAGCATCTTAAGGTAATTGTAATGTAAACAGATGAATTAGAGAATTGGTTGTCATCTGTGCTATATTCTGTCTGGCACTTTATGGTTCTGTCGACCATCTAAGAAAAACACCATCTCCAATCTTAAATAGTTAAACATTAATGCATGTTAGAATCCTTTGCCAAGTATTTTTTTAAAAGAAGTTTGCATTTGCCCAGGTTCCCATAGTTTAGTTCTTTAACAGCTGTAGTACATTATTTCAAACTTACAATCAGTATTTTGGCAGGAATATTTTTGCTTTTTGTTAATCAACATTTTTTCTCCAGAGGGCAGATTTTGTTTCTTTTGATGACCAAATCTTTTAAATGTTATATTATAAAAAAAGTTATTAAACTTTTAAATTTGTCACTAGCTATAATACAAATTATTTTAAGTATGTCTTAAGTTTGTATTTCTAAAAATTCTCTTAAAGAGTTATGAAATTTCGACTGCTCTAGAAAATCGAAGTCACAAGGTTCGATACTCAGATACAGTGGAAAGCGGATCCATTATATTTTCTCTTTCTGGTACAGTATATTTGCTAACTATCTTAAGTTTCTTATAAAATACGTGGTGTAAATTGTAGTAAGTTTTGAAATTCAGTATCAATATAATAACTTACAGTGTTGTTTTGGAAGAGATAAATGTGTTCAACTTTATTTCTGCAGAAACACTGCACATGACCAATTACAGAATATATTCCTTTTTAGTTTACAGTTGCTTAAATAAAGCTGAACTAGTGGAATTTAGTAGAGGATGAGAAAAACTATTTGACCTTGGAACTAAGATGAAAATTTTAAAACAGCAACTCTTTCAACAATCAATTATATTGAAGTATTAACTGTATTTATAGAGGCTAACATTATTGGTCAGTATTTATATACAAAAAACAATATACGAATTTTTTTCCTTTTTTTTTTTTGTATGAGGGTTTACTGAAAAAAACTACAATGGTGACAAATAAATGTTCCTGAACTCACAAAACTGTACACCTGAGTCATGGGCAAAGAACAGGAATTAAATTAGGATAAGAGAAGTCTGGGGACATGGGAAAGAGCAGCTTCACCTGTGCTTGGGAAGTAATAGAAGTGACCAGAGGTAAAAGTACAGGGCTTTGTCAGGAGGGCTTTGCCCAGTAGGTGCTTTTAACAGCCCTATAAATAGGTCTTCATGCTGCATGGTCCAGCCTCAAACTCAACAGAGTCCTCCTGGGACAAGTACTTTTGGTCACATAGTTAACATGTTTTGGTCACTTTGCATTTAATTCTTCTAACAAGCCTAATAAAATTATTACTTTCATGTTAGAGAAGGAAATTTATGTTCAGAGAGGTTCTACAGCTTGCCTAAGTTCATTAAGTTATATTTTTTAGTTTTTGCATTACTGGGGTTTGAACTCAGGGCCTAATTGAGCCATTCCACCAGCCTTTTTTTTGTGATGGATTTTTTTCAAGAGGGTCTTATGAGCTGTTTGCCCAGGCTGGCCTCAAACCACAATCCTCCTCATCTCTGCCTCCTTAGTAGTTAGGATTATAGGTGTGAGCCACTAGCACTTGGCTCATTAATACGATAATCACCTAACCATATAACATAGGTTTTCTTTCTAATATTTTTAAAATTTTTGGTGATACGGAGGTTTGAATTGAGGGCCTGTGCTTGTTAGGCAACCATTCTACCACTGGAGCCCTTTTATTTTTTGCCTGGGGCTGGTCTTGGATTGCAGTCCTCCTGTCTGCGCCTCCTACCTAGCTGAGATTACAGATGTGTACACCATGCTGGGCTTGTTTTTGAGATAGGGCATCAGTAACGTACTGCCCAGGCTGGCCTCAAACTGTGATCTCCCCCCATCCACCATGCTGGCTCTTTCTCATATTTTTAAAGGGGATATAATTAAATCAAGTTTCCCTCAGGACCATTCTGATGGGCCTGATACTATTCCAGAAAAACCAGATATCAGCTGAGTATATTGATTTATCTAATTCCATTCTATTCTGGTAGATTTCTCCAAGAAGTAACTGAAGATTTGCTGTTGACTTCTGCCTTTTCAAAGTCACTGCAGGAGCTTCTGAGTTGAACACATGGCAATGCCTAGAAGGTGGTGGGCCTAGAAAGGGCATTGAAACTCCACCCCTTCCTAGACACCTTCTCTCTCCTGTGCATTTCTTCCATCTGGTGTTTATCTATATTCTTTGGAATACACTTTCTAGGAAACCATAAATGTTTTTAAAAAAAACATGATAAAAAACATAGTCTTTTATCTAAAATCAGGCATTACTTTCATGTGGCCAGTGCCTTAGTCTGGGGTGGAGGGAAGTCACTGACCAAAATGGTTTTTTCTAAAATGTTTAGAACAAGTCATTCTTTTATACAGAACACTTCATTTTATTGTGTAAGAACTGTGATAATTTCTACTCCTTATGAGTTTAGAATCTGGACACTTTGTACAGCTATTTTTATTGGCTTTGAGTTAAAAACTTGTTCTATAAGACAAACCATCTTTACATTACATTCCTCTTTCCTAGGAGTTGCATTTTTATTGATGGATGTTAAAGAATGCATTATGTCAGCCGAAGAAGTATTTCTAACCAAAATTGAGAAGTTTATTAACATCCACCGAAATAGTTTTTTGGTTCTGTCTGCTGCTCTCCATGGGCCTGAAGAATGGAAACTGATGTTCAGATTCAGCAGAGGTATAGAAAAATAGCACTACAGATTTATTTTTCCTGTACTGCATTGTGTTTACTTCAGTTTTTAGTTCACTTAACAGTTAAATGTTGTTTTACTAGAAGATAAACTTTATGATGTTAATATCACATTTAATAAAACTTACGCCAGTAGCTACTTTATAAATCATGGTGGCCAGAGTTCATGCTGATTTGTGGGCTTCTCCTACAAGAACAAACCAAAGAGGGCACTTCTTAAAGTCAGTTAAGTTCTGGCTGTAAAGTCACCTCAAATCTTCTGTGGAACAATGCAGGGCAGGAATGATTAAAGTCATAATAACAACAGGTTATTACCTATTTAAGAGAATCATTAAGTTATATGATCTGTATAACTTATGAATTTTTCAGATTCCTGGGAAGTAAATTACGGATACTTCCAGTACATCACACAATAGATGCTATTAATCTCATGTGTACTATAGCTAAGGTAAGTCACCTGTGAGAAAGACACATTCATACACAAATACATGTCTTAGTCAAAAGGTTTAAGGGTTCTTACTTCAAATCATACAACCTCTTGGCAAGATGGTCGAATGTCCTACTTCTGTTTATCTCAGAGAAGTTGGTATTTCATGCCTGCAACTCTTTCCCAAGCCTGAACTCAGTGTCTAAAATCTTGTTAATTTACTTTGGGTAGCCACCCATTTATGACTAATTTTGGGCCAAAAGAACATTTAGTCATATATACACTGTGCTGGCCCTTCAAATTCTGAAGTATAATCACTGATAAGATTGTGGTACAGACTTTATGAAATTGTTCTCTACTAGTTGTACAGTGAGTGTCTCCAGATTTCCCCAACTCTCCTTGTCAGAGTTAGGTCTCCCTTACACTTGAACATATCCCTTCTTAAAGGAATTCTTATGCTATTCTACTTTTTGGCTTCCATGTTTAAAATTCCTTGAGGACTCTATTACTGTAACTCACATATTTTTTTTAGCACACAGACATCAAGAAATATTTCCTAAATTATTTTTTAATCTGACATTGAAAAAAATGTTGTTTCTGTAAATAATGCTACGTTTGTATCTTCTTACAGACTACCTCCAAACCATACATAGACAGCATCTGCTACAGAATGATAACAACTAAAGCATACATTATAGAGCAAAGTCCTGTTTGGAAAACACTTCAAAAGATAAAGCTTTGTGGTGATTCAATTAACCCAAATTAGGAGTACCAATTATAAATGTTCTTTTGGATGAGTATCAACATAATTAAACTTGTTCGTTTATAATGTTCTAATATATATTTAAAGATGTTTACATTAATTTAAAAAGCATTTATACAATTAAAAGTGATTTTATTTTAGGAATTTTGTTGAGCGATTCCTTTAATAATGTTTAGGAAATAACTTATATAAGAGCTGTGGGTATAGCACAGTGGGTATAGCACTTGCCTAGCATGCATGAGGCCCCAACACAAGAGAAAATTATTGTACATGCATATAAAACCCATGCAGTTTCTTAACAATACAAATTAAGGTGGATGTTCAGATATCTAGTAAGAAATACAAATACAGAATTTTCTAATCAGTTTCTTGGACTACAAAAAAAAAAGTTCAGTGTATTTGTTTTAGGTTTTCCACAAGGGCAGTTAGTATCCTAAAGTTAATCTTTGCAGGTGCTTTCACATTGTAATTGCTGGAGAGGTGGTGACGGGACTCTGTTCCTGAAGATTTATCCTAAGACATGAAAAGGAAGTAAAGTTAATAAAAACAATCAACTGCCCTAAACTCAAAACTTCTTTTCTACACTTTCAGTGATGTGATATCCAAGATGACACGAGTTCTGAAATGTTACAAAGCAACCAACAAGCAGAAAGTGTCTGTTTTCTTGCAAACTCACTACAATTGTATGAATGAATAAAGCATTTCACCTATATTTTAAGAAATTATAATACAAGATTATTAGTATGTATTGGATTTTCAAAAGTTGGTAATACTACTGATCCATAAATTGTTAGCACAGAAAATGATAAAAGCTGTATTAATTTTTCTAACAGTAAGTTTTTGCAGGAAATTTTTATAAAGGCATTAAAGCATAGTAAAAAATACAGTATTTTATTAGTCTTTATTTAGGAAGTAGAATTTTTACTTCATCCCAATATCCTCTTCAGAGGTAAACTTTGTTTTTATTTCAATGAGTTCTTCTACTCGAGCCAGAACACTTTCAATCAAATCAAATGTGAAAAGAGCTGAATGCAGGACCTGCAATGCCAACAAAAAATGATTTGTATTATTAATGTTACTGTCTTTTTTGACACAGGGTCTCACTACATAGTGTAGGCTGGCTTCGAACTTGTAATCCCCCTGCCTTAGCCTCCCATGTGCCGGGGTTCTAGATATATACCACCATGCCCAGCAGAAATAAGTGTTTTTAATGCTGTCTTTAAAACAAAACAAAACAGAAAAAGACTTTCAGCTGGATGTAGCTTTAAAAAATTTCCAATCACCTTAAGCTGCATTTCAGGAGGCATATTAGGGATCTCTTCTCCACCTACAGTTACAGAACAGAGATCCTTAGACTTCTGGACTGCTGTAAGAAAAGAAAAAAACTGTATCACACTTAACCATTTAAACAACCCTCAGACTTTATCAATACACTCAAACTACTTTCATCATTCACTAACTTAAATGTGTCAGTTATTTGTTAAATTACTGAATCTTACTGTTTAACAACTTGAGGAATATTTAAACTATAAATAAAATTAAATACCAGCAATATGGTGAACTGGTGATTCTTTAGATAAACAGCATTATTTTAGCACGTGTAGGATATTTGGAAGTTTTTTCTTTGGTATACAATTGAAATTATAGCCATAACACTAAAATAAAAAACTTCTAGAAATGCCTATAAACACACTACCACAAGTATATGGAAAAGACCACAAGATTATTACAGCAGAATTGCTTACTTTATAACAGTAATTCTGGATCTAATATTCTTTTTCATAATTTGTAAAGATTTACTCAGGGGTGAGATGGTGGTTGGACCCAGAAATACAAAAGTACAATGGCACCCAAAGAGAAATGCTTGTAATACACCCATTCTTAATCAGAATTTGAGGCTTTAAAACAATATGCTTCAAATTGGTTTGTATCTTCACTAACCCACTTTTCAGCATTAATTGGTTTATAGATTTGCTAAGAATCATTTTAATTATAAATGATAGCTGTTGTGGTCCCTCATTTGGCACAAATTGAATGTATTGTTTTGAATATGATAGTTCTAAAATTTGAGTAATTTTTAGACCTAATTGAAAACAAAATTATGTATTACCAACCTTGGCTATTTTCTTGGCTGTTTTTAATTTCTGCTTCATAATGTGCCTTTGACATATTAAGTCCTGTATGAAGTGGCTTCAAAAAATTACTCTCAATCTTTCCAAGTTCTGTCCATAATCCAGTCTGTTCAGAAGAATTAATGAAAGAATTACTTTTTTGGTTCAACACTTACTGACTGCCTATTCCCAAACAAGCACTGAAAGTAGAAGAAAAAAATGAATGAATCACTGTCTTTAAAAGTTTCTTGTTTAATAGTATGTTCATTATTACCTTTATGAATATCAAATAAAACATACCTATCAAGATAAATATATGGGGGGGGAGAGGGAGAGGGCAGGGGATGGGAGAGAAATGGCCTCAACAATGTAAGCACATATGAATAAATGAATAAAGAAAACAAAAGATAAGAATATACATAGAGCACTGTGCTCATTACTGTTCCATTTGAATACTCCTACTCTTGAGATCTGTAACTTTTATTCATGACAGTATTGCCTGGTGATTATCCAGCCTGAAACATTTCTCTTCCCTTATAAACAATCCCCACAGTGACGCTACCTTACATGTGCCTTCAAACCTGGACTTCTCAACTGATTCCTGCACTAAACATCTACAAGACTGGCTCTTTCCTACTGATGGAAACTTGTATACCACAAAGCTAATGTGGACTTTCTTGGTGACGAATGTAGATGGAGACTTTCCTGGCCTCGGGCAGCTTAGGGTTACTTTATGAAGTTTTTTGAGAAGCTCTCGTTTCAAGATCATTACACCTACAGTACTAAAGGAGGGGAGTAATTAAGTCTTAATTTTACTTTTAAAAAATCCACTGGTTTTCTTTTATTAAGTTTTATTATTTTACTAAGCTTCCAGATACTCTTTATGCCAGAAAATATCTTTTAAATACTCTTTATGCCAGAAAGTATCTTTTATAAAGGAACCCAAACGTAACAGTAAGACGGACCATTTGAAAACCTGTTTTGTAATGAACTTTATTATTTTGCAGCACTGGCGTTTGAATTCTGTGCCTGGCATTTGCTAGGCAGGTGCTCTACCACCTGATCTACACCACTAAACCCTTTTTTGCTTTAGTTGCTTTTCAGTCACTTTTTGCCTAAGGCCGGACCAGACCACGATCCTTCCACCTAACCACCTGCATCAGCTGCAGTTATAGACATGAACTACTACACCTGGTTTGTTTGTTAAGATGGAGTCTTGCTACCATTTTACCTGAGTTGGCCTCAAACAGAAATCCTCCCAATTTGCTTCTTGAGTAGGTGTGAACACCCACTCCAGGCCATGTAATGAGCTTATTTTGATCCAAGTAGTACAATATTTTACCTTTACTTTTAGTGCTCCAAATTAAATCGACACATACTTAGGTTGATCAGTTGATAACACTGGTGACTGCCACACATCCTTCCTATTTAAATCAGTCATTTTTACTTCTCATACATTGCTAAGAAATGCAGAGTTCTAGGGAGGAAGTAGATAAGAACCTAAACGTCAAAAAAATTTTTTCTCTCACCTCCAGCAGCCACTAATCTTATTTTTGTTTATGTAACTTTTACCTTTTCAGAATATAATATAATGGTATCAGATTACATCATAAATGAAGTCTTTTGTGGGTCAAGGGAAACTGACAACATTCTAAGTTTGTATTGAAAATGACCTTTAACACCAAAATGAAAAAAATTGGTAGACTTGTGCTATTTGAGTTCAAGGCTTACTATAAAAAAGAGAACCACTACCACAGAGGCCTGCTGTAAGATGGAGGTGCCGCTCAGTGGTGGAGTTCATGCTTAGCATGCATGAGGCCCTGGGTTTACTGCCTATTGCCAAAAACAACAAACAAAAATGAAATAAAACAAAAACCCTTACTATTAAGCTACAGTAATAAAGACAGTGTGGTATTGGTAAAAGAATAGATCTAGATAAATGGGACACAATAGAGTCCTAAATTTGACCCATAATTAAATGGTTAATTTATTTTTGAAGATAATGTAAGTTAGGGATAGGCTTTTTAGCAAATAGTGCTGGAGTCAAAATGAGAAAAATCCCTCACTTCATATAAAAATTTACTTGAAATGGATCACAGACCTAACTAGAACCTAGAACTACACTTCTATAAGATAACCTAAAAGATCATCTCTGTGATCTTGGGTTAAACACAGATTTCGTGGCTAGAACCAAAAATCCATGAATCATAAACAAAACCAAATTCCCCTAGTGCTTCTGGTGGGTGGAGGGAAAAAAAGAACCATTTTATATGCCAAATATATCTGTTCTTAACAAGGTGTACACCAGGAGAAACTAGTTAACCAGAATCTGCTGGGATAGTCAGAGCCTAACTGACCTGGAAACAGAGAAGCTGTCCAGCCCCCACCTAAGGATAAGAGGGCAAAACTGTGAAGCACTTGGGAAGTTCACAGTCCAGAGGCTGGGGCTCACTGAACTGAGACCTAATCACAGGACTGTAAAACTGACATTGCTTTTACACCTTAACCTACTACCAAAGACTACTTAGTGCAGTTCATTTTACCAGCTTCACTGTCTGAGGATCAAGGCATACCACAAGACAAAACACAGGTAGGTAACACAGAGTGTACATGTGCTGGACACGGGGATGGTTCACATCCTGAGTCAGGAAGGCATGAGATTGCATCCTGCCACTCATAACAGCACAATTTAAATTTAACCAATTGTTTACTACTGGAATTATCCAGTATTTTTGGACTGCAGTGGTTGATTTCAACTGTGGAATGTACAATAGTGGATAATGGGAAATAGCTCTGTTTATTTTTGTTTTGGTACTGGTATCTTACGAAACAGACTCATAATATTAATTACAAATGTACATGTTTTATAAGATTGTAGTTATTTGTTTCTTGAAAGGATGGCAAAATTATCTGACCTTGGGTTTTCTCTCAGTAGCAGTTTTCTTAAGTTACATTTTTCTAAGAAATTTCATTTTACTAAAGATTTTTAATTTACTGATATGTTGTCATATAATTTTCTTAGTTTCTCTATATTTCTACTTGTACTCCTTTTAACCAAAACATTGCATCTTTGTGTGATTTTAAGATTACCTATGCGAGAAATTCATTCAGTAATTTTCTTTGTAAGTTTAGTGACACATGCATAATCCCAGCCGCTCAAGAGGCAGAAGTGAGGAGGCAGAGATCAGAAGAATTGTAATTGAAGACCAGCCCTTGCAAAAACCTAGTGAGGCCCCCATCTCAACAAAAAAGCTGGGCATGGGGGCTTATGCCTGTAATCCCAGCTATGCAGAGAAGTAAGTAGGAGGACTGCAATTCAGGTTGGCCCAAGCAAGAAAGATGAGACCCAGGGCTGGGTGCAGTGGCTCACATCTGCAATCCAGCTACTTGGGAGGCAGAGATTGGGAGGACAGCAGTTCAAAGTCAGTCTGAGCAAAAAATAAGTGAGATCCCATCTCAACCAATAGGTAGGCGTGGTGGTGCAGGCTTGACATCTCACCTACATGGGAAGCATAAATAGGAGGACCAGTCCAGGCTGGCCCAAGCAAGAACATGCAACTTTATCCCCAAAATAAATAAAGCAAAAATGGCTGGGGACATGGCATTCTACTGGAAACTAAGCAGAGTGCCTGCCTGGCAAGCATGAGGCTCTGAGTTCAAATCCCAGTACTGCCAAAAAAATATACATTTCTTTTTTTTTTTTTTTTCATTTTTCTTTTATTATTCATATGTGCATACAAGGCTTGGTTCATTTCTCCCCCCTGCCCCCACCCCCAAAAATATACATTCTTTGAATGAACATTTAAAACTGGAAATTCTGATTGATTGGCAGTTGTGGGATAAGATGGCAGATTAGAAGTTCCCTCTGTGCAACTCTAAGTGAAGAGCCAGGCCAATAAAGGAGAGGCTATATTCTGAGGAAGAAAGGAAGAGTGCTAGGATTAAGAAAGAGCGACAGGCTCTATTTTGAAAGAGGGCCTATTGTTTGAGACTGAACTATTCTGGGAGTATGAAAACAAGAAACAATTCTAAGTCAGTGAGCCGGTGGACACCTTGCCACAGTTTCTGGGTGAGAAATGCCAAACAGGCAGCCATGGAGGGGAAAGGACAGACACAGACCCTCCAGGAATTTTTGGCAGCAGTGAGCGCAGGCAGTGGAAGGTCCCATGGTCAGTACCAGACTCTCTATGGAGAGGATCAAGCCCTGTCACCTGTGGGCGCTGTGGAGGCTGAGAGCTCTGCTCCTCAGGTGGATGGCTCAGCCTCCAGAGCCACGGGGCAGGTCTGACTGCCCTGAGCCCAAGCTGGGAAGACCACTACTCAATTTCCAGTTTTCCCAGCCTCCTTCTCCTACAGGTTGGTTCACTGCTGGACAGGGTCTGAAAGTGCTGAGACCATCAGGCAGGGTTGCTTTGCTTGACTCGCCTACTTTCTGATGCAATCTGAGGATACCCTTTGCTTTTACATTTGTGGCTCCTGGACGCACACACTGAGGAGTCTCAGTGCATTTACCAAGCTGTATGGTGGGAACACAGGAGCTACAATAAATCCCAACTACAACCACTACCCTTCCCCAGTCCTGGTGGATGCCAATTTCAGAGAACCCAGAAAGTATTTTCAGTTCACTGTTTTTTTTTTTTTTTCTTCTCTTTTCTTTTGTGATACTGGGGCTTGAACTCAGGGCCTCACAAGTGCTAGTCAAGTACTCGATCACTTGAACCCTGGCCCTGACTCATTTTGCTTTTAGTTACCTTTCAGGTAGGATCTTAACGTTTTTTCACCTGGACCAGCTAGACCATGATCCTCCTACTTCATGCTTCCCACACAATGGGGATGACAGGCACTTGCCACCATGCCCAGCTTTTTTTGCCCAGGGCTGGCTTCAAGCCTTGATCCTCCTAAATTCCACCTCCTGGGTAGCTAGGATTATAGATGTGAAACACTACACCCAGTTTCACTTTTCTATGTTTTTATGTATTATTTTTATTTTATAATTAAATTTTTAAAAAACTTGCTCTTTCCTCTTTTGTGTTCTTTTCCTTCTACCTTGCTTCATCTTTCTCCCCATGCCCCTTTTATTTCATTATTTCAGCATTATTACTTATACTTTTATTAATCTTTACCTCA